ACTTTTAATATCTTCTTAAAGGTAGTACTTTAGATAGCAGTTTTTAATGTAATCTCAAGGCAGATTCCTATTCTAGTTAATAAACAGGATCAATACATTTGTCAAAACTCTTAATGGTAACCATACAGAACTTTTCATACATCCTCTTTTCTAGGAAATGGATATACTGAGGAATTTATTCTGCTTAATTGCTTTATACTAAGCAGTTTTCATTAGCCATCCTGTAATCTGTATGAACAGGAATAGACAGAGTGAGGAAAATTAACTGGTTTAACCCTTCCTATTATTTAAAAAAAAAAAAAAAAAGAAATCTTAGATGAGCTTTGGTATTAAGAGCAAGGAATCCAATACAGGTAAAACAGATGCAACTCCATTTAGTCAATATAGGAATTTTTAGTAAGTTTGTGCATTAAAGAGCTATGGTCTGTCTGAAATTTCCGGCAAAATACAAATTCAGAGCTTCTTACATATTTGCCTCGAAGTTAAGAGACTAATTACATTAACTGATTCATTAATAAATGGGGCTTTTTGTCTAATTATTATAAGTACTAACAGACTAGGGAACCATTTTAAATGTCTAATGTGCCTTGGAACCATTTTTTTTAGGTTAATTACATTTCTCACTAAAGTCACTATAGATATGCCCCTTAGGTTTTACACTGGAAGATGAAAGGAAAGAAAAAAAAAAAAAAAAAAAAAAAAAGATGATTACCTCATTGGCCATCTCCAGTAACACAGGGGCAGCTGCATTTTTCATCACCCCATTCAGGTACCTAGACAAGACAAAGCCAGGTAATTCTGCAGTAGCAAATAAAGGCCAGTTTATACATCTTAGTAAGCCTCATAAATCTCTCTAATTTGGAGGAAAACACTCCAGTACAGAGTATTTAATGGGAAATATTCTAAGAAATAAGTATTTTAAGCAATCACTAACTCTTCAGGTTTGTCTCCTACTCATCTGCAAGACATATCGATCTCAAGAAAGTCACTGGTAAAAAAACACTAAATAAATCAAGAAATTAAGTTTTTTGCCTTGATGGCATGCAAATAAATTATATCTGTACTATTTAAAGATGCATCACAGAGAAATAAAGCTCTATTATTCATTGTAAAGATTTTGGGTTCCACATGACCTTCAGTGACAAAGGTGCACTGTCTATCTTATTCAATTCACTACTATACACAAACTCAGATTATCAAATTTAAACCAGATTTTATCAACCAGGCAGTAGTTTAAATACTAAAGGCTTACTCTACTGAAACCTGATTCTAATGATCAAATTAGTATTCTACAGCAAAAAGGAAAGAAGAAACATTTAGGATCCAGTAAATGGTGATAGAAAGTCATTATCCTATCAATGGCAAAGGCTTAATGTTTCTGGTTAAGGGTATTGCAACCAACATGAACAACACACAGTGATGTTTCTGATCATCCTTTCTCACAGTATCATCTTCCTCACTTCTGTTACTTTCACTGTTTGATGTTTACATTTCAATAAAGCCCCAAACCTGCTCTCACCAGCTGACAGGCAGAAGCTGTATTACTTCGTGGGTTGCAGCCACATGGAAAAAGAACAATACTTACCAACACTTGAACCTGCTCGTTTATCCTATCTGTATTCATATAGCACATCATTACTGACATCATTAGAAGGCCACAGCCTTTCCAGCTCTATCATTATCTATCCATCAGAAGCCACTCTTCTGCTCATTAGTTACAGATATTAGAATTCTTTATCATTTTATCTTTCTGTGGAATGGGTGTATAACACCTTTGCATAAACGTCTTCAGAGAAGATTAGAGGGCTTTTTGTTTGCAAGTTATTCTGAGGCTTAATGAATAAAGGAAATGATAAAAGCTTTTTGCTGTAACCTATTTCAATTCCACATAAAACCCCACAAAACAAGACCTATTTAAACTTTGAAAATATATAACAGAAGGAAAAAAGAAGAGATCATTGAAAAACCAAAATCTACCCAGGAAGATTTATTTGAGATTAACATTCTAAAATGTGCATCTAGTTGATCAAATAGCATGGCTACAGCTGACAATGGAGTAATTTTCTGTCAGATAATTCTAACACTACTGGCAATTCTATTATGGACTAACAGGTCTCACATGCTGACAGCAATACTGTTCTGAAAAGCTCGCTGATCCTTCTCTTAATTTGCCTTCATGTTTGCCTAAATTTGAGACTACTAAGTAGAGCAGCAGAAACTACTCCACTCAACTGCACTCTCCTTGCTGCCAACAGGGACCACTGGAAATGCCTACCTTCAAAAATTGGTAGTTTCCCACTTAGGAAAGAAATGGCAACACAATCATCTGCTTGCATGCCAGTGGGAAGAGGATGGAGCATAGCACATAGACTGGGGTTTACAGCAGTAAGATGGATGCTACAGAAGAGTAGAGTAGAAGACATGTTTGTCATGTTTATGCTTGAAGCATTTCAAACTGGCTTCTGACTCAAGTAGCCTACCCCTGTAGCTTATGAAACATACTACACAGTAAATCTACTAAAACAGGACTGAGATGAGTTTTCTAACTATTAACCAGAACATATCTGATTTTAAAACATGTGCATTTTATTCAGCCATGTTAACACATTTGCAATATGAAATACCCAGAAATAGCGTAAAGAATGATTTTCCCTACCACCACCATATAGCTTCATACATAATGCATTAGTTATGTCCTGCTATCATACTTCAGACAGTATAGAAGGGGACAAGAGACCAAATCCTCCTACCTGATGTGAGGCAAACTTAAACATACCTACAACCTTACTGACGCTAATACAACCGCTGCTTTGCATAAAGCAAAATTTGGTCCTATGTTTTAGGTTTAAGTCGTTGGAACTACTAACACATCATAAAAGTGATTTACATACGTTCTAAGAAACAGGTTATTTACGCAGCAGTTACAATTGACATTGGGCACACTGAAACTGTGCTAGTGAAAAGTAATTTAAAACAGTATTGTATATACATGGTTATTAGCGCATGAAAATTTTCAGCTGACATTCTTCCTAAACAACAATCAACACTAGGAAAAGGGCTTTGTGATCCAGTACAAATTTTAACAGAACAATACAATTACTAAAAAAAGAAAATCAAGCCCCCCAACAAGCACAATTCAAACCAGATCTTCTAAAATAGTTCTTAAATCAGGCTGTACTTACATTTTAAGCATATGACTCTGCAGAAGCGCAGTTAATTGTTTATAAATGAAGGCTTTTTGTTTATTTTCCTGATTCATACAGATTAGTGTTAAGCATAAATATCAGACACCTATAATCCATAAGTATGAGCTCACTTGCCATGCAAGCTCCTCAGATATGTCACTCTACAAAGTAATAATTTAATTGTGTATCTTTACCAGTTATCAGCATGCCCCGATTATGTCATTGCAATATTTTTAGTAAAGCCTGTAGAAGTAACAGACAAACTGTAAGAGCTAGCAAACAGAGTTTATTAGCTTAAGATGCAAACCATTGTAAAATATTGTAATATGACATAAAGGTTTTCATCTTCCCTTAACAGCTATTTCTGGCACTTCTGTTGATAAAACAGGAGTGATCTAAAAATTAGTGCTCTAACTGGCAATACATGAATTTAGTATGTAACTTTTTGTAACATAAAACAAATGTTTTAAAGCACAAGCAACTGTAAAAGAGCAAGCTCCCTTGCTGTAAGGAAGTTATCATCAATATTTGTCTTGACATAGAAATCCTGTAATTACAAACTATAGGCAATACATAATAAATGCTATCACATACATTGTAAAAAATATTCGCTTATCCTGACTTCAAGCCAAGGAAGTAAACCCTGTCTCCATCAGACCGCCCAAAAGCTAAAAAATTTCTGCATTTTCACTGAAAAACATTTTTATTTGAACCCTTCTGTACTCCTCATCTGCATTTTTTAATTTCTTTTAATATAAAATTAACCTCACAAATAATAGCCCATAAGCTAATTTATCCATAATTGCCACAAGATGATACTCTTATCTCAGTTGGGGAGGTCATACCTTTGGTAATAAGCTTCAATAGCTTCAGCAGTGTGATGCTTGGCATGTGTTCTTTTGATTTGTTTCTAGAAAAATTAAAAAACAAAGAGTCTTAGAAACATCTCATAGATCAAAACACAGAAATCATGACTGCCCAAACACATGTTCCTTAGCTAGACTTTGATATATAAACTGAACTATGTTTTAGATTCGGTACAGAAATGACATTCAATCTACCTATTGAACTGAACGTCTTCAGACTGTACTGCAATGTACCATATATGTAAAAGCCAATAAGGTCACAATAATTGAATCTAAATAAGTTTACTGAAGGCTACAGAGGGCAAAGAAAAACTTGTTCTCTCTTTCAACCTTCGTATTAATTTTCCCTCAATTCAATTCCATCTAAGTCTGGTGCAGTCTAGATTTACAATTCAATTGGCATTTTTAACCAGGAAGAACATTGCTTAAAAACAACTTATTTGAAAAACTAGAAAAAGTAATTCCACAGAGACTTGCCATTTGACTGACACCTGTCATCTCATGATAAATGACTCCATTTTCTGCCTTTCTTGCCTTCTGCCACTCCGGCAATGGTCATTTATCATCATCTCTGTCAGCAATGGAAAGCAGCACTGACAGTGCAAGTCAGCAAACATTTAGCACATGGAACCACGCAACACAGGGAAATTATTATTGTCAGAATAATAATGGTTTAGCATAATTTATTACAGGTCCACCAAATAAGCAAAGGCTAGATGTTATTAGACAGATGGATGGGTAGGCTTGGCAGCCATCCACTGAGACTCAGGCGGTGCTTGATGTGAAAAAAGGAACATCCTCCAAACCAATCAGAAAGCTGGCAGTTCAATTACAAAGAAATAAAGGGACATTCATCATTCAATTAGGCACCTGTCAACCCTCACAAAGGAGAAAACTTCTAACCTGGTACTCCTGGGAGAAGATGCTCAGCAGAGTGGACTGCGATTGACTGGAACAAATAAAAGAAGGACAAAGTTAATTACTGGAGTGCACTGCGAAGAAACAAAAGAGAAGGGAGCTTCAAAGGTAGGCCTGCTGCCCTGTAATCTAACAGAACATGAAAACAAGTGTGGAAAAGTTGTTCCAGATGAACACCTCAGACAAAGGCTTCCTGCTGCTAGGTCAAGGAGAGAGCGTACAAGGGAGGGGAGGAAAATATAGCAAGACTTTCAAAGCAAACGAGCATATTGTTTGGGTGATTCCTTCTTCAGCTTCAGAACCCACAAAGTCCTATCAGGAGCAGGTAGCTGAGTTAAAAGGGAACAAGAAAACAAAGCAAAATTTCCATTAATAATTGATGGAGTAAAGTTCCATCAGCAGTTGGGAACATGCCGTTTGTTCACTGGCAACATATTGAAATTCATTTTGTTAGCAGCAAGGGAACCTCTTCAGTAGCTGTCTCATATTCAGGTTAAAGACTTCCCCCTCTGTCAGAAGTAGCATATGGGACCACTGGAACATTCCCACTGAAACTGATGTGCTTTGAAAATAGAAACTTCCACAGCAGGAAGCCAAGATTCCCCGGAGTCGGTCATTTCCAAAAGCTGCCATAAGCTTCATTCATCTAAGGCCCCACTCAATGTCAAACACCTGGCAGTGAAGCAACCTGGAAAGCATTCTTCCCAAGTGGGAATTTTTCTCTCTGAATTGTTAACATTTAGAAATGGGACAAGATTTTTTTTTCCCTCTGAAAGGCAATCAATACGACACTGCTACTGTTTTCAGTTGTCCTCTGTGGATATGTCTACCCGAATACAATTAATTACTGCTGATACATTTTCCTACTACATGCAACTTGAACAAATTATCATCTTAAATAAATCAAGTTTTATGGTATAGCAAAGCATACTGAATAATTAACATTTGTCCTTTCATGAACTTACCTACTAAGGCACAGCACAGGTAGTTCAAAGATTCAGTAATGTCTAAAGACTGCCCTTCTTCCAGATTTCTTGTAAGTGAATTTAACACCTGTATCACACCGTATGTACACTAAATATAAATGTTCTCTCCATATTAAATGGCCCTTGTCCTTTTGATTTTCACACCTCAAAAATATTGATTTAAAATAGGGCAGTCTTACTCCCATTTTCAGAAGGAGACACTGAGGCACAGAATGACTCTGTGGTTTGTTCAGATTTAAACAGATGGTATGTCTATGCAGCACAATATAAAAAGCTACCTCTAAACCAGACAGTTGAAGCCTTAGAAACAAAGCGACTAGATTAACATAGTGCTATACAAAAAGCTAATTTGACTTATGCATATCTGTGCTTCCAGCACATCTTTGTCATAATGCTGTATTTTGGGCCTGTCTGCCCACTGCAACATCTGTGTGACAGCAGTAAGCTCAGCCTTGATCTCTGATATTTTACGCAAGAATGTGCACCCTGAGTACTCACTGACTGAATGTTTTCCCTGTAGAAAAATGATAGCAACCTAAACTAATACACAGGTTTATGAAATTCATGGACTACAGACAGATGAACAACAATACAGTCAAGAATTTAAATATTCTTAAATAAACATCATTTGACACAGAGGCCAGGAGATATGTACCACAATGTCACCTCAAAAGGTGCACCATCCAATTATGACAACTTTCAACATGCACATGCAATCATTAGAAAGTGAACAAAGAAAAGAAATTAAGACTATATACTTAAACTGGCTATATACATATGCGAAGACGGAATTTCAGGTTGATTTATTTTAAAAAACCCTGCGGGCTATAAATAAGTTGGATGCATATGGCCCCCTAATGGCTCTCCACCTAACTATTATTATCTGGCAGATTTACATGGTTGTAATGGTAGAACTGAATTTAGAGAAAAGATGTGGAAAAAAAACAAACCAAAACAGGACAGTATTTAACTGAATTTCTAGTTTGACTTCTCTCCCACTGACATAACAATTTTTGTATTTTTAGGCTATTCCCATTAAAATTGCTGCATTTATTGTAGCATTATCCTATTATATCCACTGACATATCAAAAAGAATTAAGACCATTATCTCTCTCTTCACGCCTCTGACTCTTGTCCATTTTATTTGTTCCCCTGATGTCCTTATATTTTGCCCTTCTACTTCATCATAGTCCAATACTCCTCTCCTATGCTTTCAACTATTCAGATCACTTAGGTGTTATCATGAACACTAAAAAAATTCAGTCCAGCAACTGAACAAGTTGGATATAAAATGGGTTGCAATACAAAAATGTTATGACTGTGACAAACAATTAGTTCAATAGTACCAGTTTTACTATAAGAATATCTTTCTTCTTCCCCAGGAGAAGTGAATTTAGACTTTGACATGGCTGCTTCCACATTTCTTCTGGTTAACGTAGTTCCCCTCTTAAACACTAAAATCACTTATCTGCCACTCAGTGTTTCCTTGCCACAATTCCACTACCACAACTTCCTGCAAACTGAAAGAGCTCCTCAAAACACAGCTGGAGTATTGCAAGATGTCATTGACAGAAAACTGAAACATGATTTCAGAGATGAAAAATACAGTGCTGTGTACTTGGTGTGGGGACAGAAGTCATGAAGATGCATTTGCAGTGGAAGACAGCACGCTCACAACTACTTGATACTGACAGCAGGGATACTGCCATCTAAGTTATCGTTACTTCTCCAGGAGCAGCCAAATTCCTAGGGCTCCATCCATCCTGTGATGATTCCATATAGGATTTCAAAGCAGCAAATAAGCAGACAAATTAATATTGATGATATATCCAAGAAAACAAAAACAAACCAAGATATCTTTTATTGTTATTTTGATAACGTTTCTGTGCTGTATAAGTGCCTCTTACGGAGTAAACTTTACAGTAAGCCTCATGGCTTACTAGGAGGCTACAGGTACAGACATGTTTGTGCTGAGCAAGTTCTTTTGTTGTTAACCAGCTGTAGACCCCAAGCTATAATCTGCTGGTTTTCTGAAACAAACAAAAACCTAGAACTCATAATTCTGAGTATTACCTAGTCTAAATAATTAAATTAGTTGTCCATCTTGCAGAACTAAATCTACTTTCCAGGAAAACAAACAAACTTTTTTCTTTAAGTTCTATAGCAACTACATCCATGAAAACATTTTCTTCTGCATTTCCAGATGTTAATGGATCCAACTCCCAGAGCTCTGTTCAAAGCAACCAGCCTCGCTCTTCAGATACTCTCTCTTGTACACCAGCATCCATCATGAACCAATTTACCTTTTGCTACTCTGTGTTCATCTCAGTGGCGTATTTCCACCTGAATGCCTGGTGCACTTTGTGCTCTTGTCAATATATAACTGGATTTAGGCAGAAAACTGTGAAATGCTACAAAATGCCCATTTGTAAAAAAGAAAATTACTTTTATTAAAAAAAAAAGTCATTTCTAGCTTCCAAAGGATATAAAGATATAAAACTTTGCATCTCATTAAAAAAAAAAAAAAGTATTACGGATATCAAAGTCTATCCACATTTAGAATGGGATGCCCAAGTCAGACAAGAGTAAGAGGTAAGAGAAGTTATCTCTAAGAACTTAGAGAACGATCAAGCTAAAAAGACAGCTGCAAGTCTGGTGCTGGAAAAAGAATATGCCTTGTGGTCATTTAATATGTAAAAGTAAAATTTAGACAATTCTGTTCTAATGAATCACAGAATTTGGTAGAGGTGGAATGCCACCATCTCTGGAGAGTATTTCAGGAATGTTTTATTTTGCAATGAGCGTTCATATATAAACTAGTAAGTGATAATATGCTGATGCAGATCAGTGCTTTGTAACTAGAGTTGATGTAAAACTTTGGCCAAAAAGTAGCTAGTAAGGGCAAAAAGAATTTAATTGGTTCAGATAATCTTAAAAAAAAAAGCAGGCTTGCAGATCTAGCCATGATTTGGGGTATTGTCCAACTCCATATTTGCTATTTACTATAGCCTCACACAGAGGAAATCCAAACATGACAACTTGTGCAAATACCATATTATCAGCCCTTGCAAATAATTCTTTATGGATAAGATAAAACTTACACTTTTCCACTTTAATTTCAGAGATTACCAGTTTCCACATGTGCCATCTATACATCTTAAAATTAGTTACCTTTCTGTCATCTTTAGCTCCACACATTTTGCCCAGAACAGAAAGATTAAAAATTCAGTTTTCCATTTCACATATTTTACCATGGAACAAAGGAAAAGTATCTAGAGATCTGTAAAAACAAAACAAAACAAACCCACAAAAGCAAACAAACAAAAAACCACACACGCACCAACCCCTCCCCCCCCCAAAACAATAATAATAATAATAATAATAATAAAAATCACAAAAATCACAGGTAAATATGAACTACAGTATTTAGTCCAGTAACTATTCACACAAGTGGAGACAGGCACAGGAAACAAAGTCCATCATGAAACAAATCTCTCTCTATATATATATGGAATAGACTTGATTTTCTTTTTTAAACAAATGAAATCTACAGATAACATTGATTTCCTTTTACAAAATAGAACATGCATCCTCCTTAAGACAGCAAATACTTCATTTAAAAAACTGAGTGTGGGGCAGGAGCTGTGTTTCCACAACTCAGAAGCTGTTCCATGTGAAATCCCAAAGTAGCAGTGTCAAACCTTCTCTTGGTAGAGGAAAAAAACACTGAACTTAGCTACTGTAGGAATTCAGGTAGGGGAAGAAACTGTTTCTTCCCTTCCACAGTCTCCAGCATGAGTATGTAGCACCAGTCCTGTCCTTTCACAAAATGTTCTGAAGCAGATAGCAAGAGTCCTTCCTTTCTAATAACTGGCAGAGAACTTCTCCTTTCCATTCATAACAAGATCTCAAGTATTTTTACTAAAGCAACATTGAGCTTTAAAATAAAAGTAATACATACAACTTAGGGCCAGAATTACATAATGCTGCCACGCTGGATTAAGAATGTATATGAGGGAAGAAACACACACACATATATATATA